ACTATTAAAGCACTAAAAGAGTAAGGCAGGCGTAGAATAAGCGCCTTTAACAATGCTAGCGTTAAAAGACTTAGACAACAAATAAAAAGTAAAAGCAGTCTTAAATAAAAGACGTAAGGCCGGCTAGACTAAATACCTAGTACGTTAAATAGGCTAGCCGACTAAATATAACTAGAAAGCAAAGGGTATTAAAGAGTAAGAGCTAGGGCCGTAGCGGGTACTAGAGCGCTAAAGGCGCTTACCGCAAGCACAAAAGCGTTAGAATTAAGAGCAGCTATATTGCTGCTAAAAGACAAGTTTGTTGTTTCTAGAAGAAGTAACCGGATGCTAAACCCTATAATAATCTAATTTAATACAAGACTAACCTCCTAAATAAAAGGATCTAAAGGCGCCTTAAGTCGCCTTTAACAGCAATCTTAGCAAGCATAAGGGGCCGCCGCAAACGGACAAGCACTACTACTACTAGGAACAAAGGCTGCAAGCCTTTTGTTAAGACCTGCCTTAGGGAGTTAGGCATAGAAGGGGAGCAATTGTAACGCCGCCCTAGGAAGGGGACCGACGCAGGCTACGCGCAAGCTGTACGTAGTATGCGCACAGCATATTAGATGCACATTGTAGACTAGAAGCGGTGCTTATGGCGCAGGCTGCGTAGCGTAGTCTGCGCACAGGCTAAGTAGAAGCGGGGTCGCGCCTGCCCTGCGCACTTAGTGCGCTAGAGGTGCGCCTACGATAAAGAGCGCCTCTTGCACTCCCTTAGAGTGTAGGAGGCGAGAATTAGCTATTAAATATACCGCTACTTTCTTTTGTTAAGAAGATACCTTCTTGCCTGCCTAACTTACCTAGCCTACCTAAGTATACCTTTAACAACTTACAACTACTATTAACTTAGATTAAGGCTTACTTTAAGATTATTAATAGCGCTCTTTATATTATTAAAAATAAAGACTACCTACTTAAGGTACTAGATTAAGAGAAGCTATTATAGCGCCTTTAGACCTTATATAAGTAGTAAAGTTACTATAACGCTAGTATACTTCTTAAGATAGCTAATAGCTACTACTAGCATTTATATCTTTTAGTATTAACTAGTTAAGTAAGTTTAACTTATATAAGCTATTAGATTAATAAAACCTAGCTAAATTTAGAGGCTATGCTAAAGCTACCGCCTTTAGTAGCTTTATTTTTTTAGTAAAGAGTTAACTTTACTAGCCTTTTAGCCTAAGAGAGAGAGACTTTAATTTACTTAGCTATTACTATTAATTATATAACTAGTTAGCTAAAAGTATAGCTATATACTTTATCTTTATAGTAAAGGCTTTAGCGCTATTAAAGATGATAATCTAGTACTATAAAGCTTTAAAAAAGATTATAGTAATAAGCCTATAACTAATTATTAATAATAGTACTATCTTTTTAAAAACTAAAGTATATAATGCTTACTATAAGCAGCTAAGTATTACCCTTTTACTAATAGCCTTATACTAACTATAAAGTAATAAGTAAATTAAATACTGTTATTAGTTCTTAAAAAGTATACTATACCTACTAATATAAACCTATCTTAGCGTTATAAGCTTAAACTTAGTTAGTATAGTAATTTTAATATACTACTACTACCTTATAAAGTATAGCTATAGTCTATACTTCTTAACCTTTAGCTACTAGCCTTCTATATACGTAACGCATATATAGTATATATAAAAGCTTACTTATATAAAGAAGGCAAAAGTAGCTAAATAATAAGCTTATAATTTAATAAACCTTAGTAGTATTTAAAATTAACTAGCTTTAGTAAAGTATATTTAAATAGCTATATAAAGCCTTTTATAAACTAATAAAGCTGTCTCTTATTACTTTAGTATTAAAAACTAAGTACTTTAGGCCTAGCCTTAAAAGTATAAGCATAAGCCTTTTTATAAAAGGCTACTTTAAGTAACTTAGGTACTTTTAAATAGCTGCTTTAAGCTTTATACACTTAATAGCACTAAACTCTTAAACCTATAGCATCTTAATAACGTCTTCTTAGTATACGTTTAAGATTATAAGCTTATTTTAAGCCTTTAGTATAGCTTAAAAGTAATGCTAAAAGCTAACTAAAAACGCTAACGCTAGAAAGCTAGCTTATAAGTAATAATTTTTTACTACTCTTTATTTTTTTACTACTCTTTATTTTTTTACTACTCTTATTATTATCTTTTTGCCCTTTAGCTAAATATATAAGTAACTTAGTTAGTACCTTAAATTGCTAGCAAATTACACTATTTTAGAAGTACCTTTTTACATATAATATAAAGAAATTAAGGACGATTTTGTTTAAGAAGAGAGTGTGTAGATTTTTTAAGGTTACTTAACCTTAGCCGCTAAAATTACTAGATAAGACAAAGCCTTAACTAAACGCATATTGCGCATAGTCTAAAGCTTTAGTTAAATACCTAACGAAATATTATTACTAGATCTTCTAAAGGCCTTAGAGCTTACTATAATACGTGCAACTAGTCTAGACGAATATCCTATAAGGATTAACGTATAGGTCTTACGCTAGTATTTGCGTAGACAACTGCGCGTACAAACTAGCGGTGTATAAAGTAGAAGCCACACTACTAAAATATACCTGCCTATCTCTAATACTCTGTACCTATTTTAAACCTTAACATAATATATTAAATGGAAAGACCTGATTGTCTACAGCTTTTACCGCTATAAAATTAAGTTTAAAAGTAAGAGGAGGATTTATATAAAGGTTAAAGGAGGCTATATATAGCGGTTATATAACGTAATGCACTATAAGGAGTAGGAGGCTAAATAGGGTTTAGTATAAGCAAAAGAGTGTTATATACAAAGGTCCCTACTAAAAGTTCTTTCTTACTACTTTAGCAAAATAAGAAGGTAGGTATAATGCTAGTAATATATTGCTACTATATTTACTATAGTAGTGTTAGCGTATTTCTATATACTAAGCGCCTTATAAAATATTAGTTATATTAGTAATAATATCTACTAAGCTCTAGCGTATTATCGCTAATAGCTTTCTCTATATAATTTATACTCTACACTATATATTGCCGTAGTTATAAAAAAGTAGTAAGAACAAACTTTTAGTAAAGATCTCTATATAAAGGTTGCTACTAAAAGTCCTTTCTAACTGCCTTTAGTCTTACTATTTGCACTAAGCTTAATTAAGAAATCTATTTTTAAATTACATTCCGTCTTCTTTTTAGTATATCTTTTTATCTCTTCTTATATTTATTACTACTACTTAAAGCGATTACTTGCTAAATATGCTATAGTATCCTTTTAATCCACTCTTAAATACAGTCTTATTTTAAGTCTGCCTACGTACACTACTAGTCTACCTCTACTTATGCCTTTAATAAAGGCGCGCTAAACTTAGTAGTCTACCTTTTTAAGTGCATCTAGCATAACTTAATTATATTTAAATCTAGTAAATTTAGGCACTAAATTAGCCTTTAAACGTTTATATAGTTATATATAACTACTTATAAAGTATATATAACTACTTATAAAGCATATGCATAGGCTAAAGCTTAGTCTTCTTAAACTAAGAAGTCTACACTGCACTTGCAAGCAAAAGGTATTAGCTTTAGAATAATAATATACTTTTAGTAGCAGTACTAGTTAATACCATTACCGCTCTTACAAGTAGCTTTGCCTATTTGCTTTGTAAACTTTTATTACAGCTTTTATCCTAGTAGATTTTATAGCCTAACACAACAAACACTAGTCTTAAGCTCCTATACTTTATAAAGTTATAGTTTTATTTGTTAATTTTATAACGCTAACTCTTTTTCTAACTCTATACGCTCTTTTATAGTCTTAGGATGCTAAATATAAAACGGTCCTTTATTATTATATGCAAAGCATCCCTAAAACATAAATTTAAAGTATCCCTTCTACCTTTCTTAGATATAAGATTGTAAAAACCTTTCGTCTAAAGCTCTCTAAACTTTATAGCTCCTTTATTAATAGTAAAGAAGAATAAACGTTTTATTAGACTAGATTACTTTTTTCTAATTATCTAATGTCTAGTATTTATAGCGTAAGCACTAAGCTAACCGCTTTTATTTTATTAACTTTATTAATCTAGGCTTTTGTGTTAGTTTTATCTTCTTTATCCTAGCGTTTTAAAGAGTGCGCTAAACTGTCATTGCTAAAACGCTACCAATTTTATATGCTAAATAAGCAGTTGTTTTTTCTCGTCCATAGCGGTTAGTGCAAACCTTTGTAAGAACCTCTTCTTTAACTAGTTCTTGCTTTTAAGGGCGGCCGGTTCGGTTACCGTCTACAACGTAAATATCGAGTATAACCGGCGGGCGTGCATTAATATTAAAGCCACGGCTAATAGCTTTATTAAGAAGTAGATGTACCTGCCGTGCAGAAATACCAGTAAAGGCTTCGATTTGATTATTCGTAGCACCGAATAGCTTTAAGCTAAGGGCCTGCGCCCGGGTAGCAATATCGTATAAAGGCATAATGATTTAGATGTAAGAAAAAACAAAAGGCGCGACGGCAGCAGCGGCAGTAGCGGCACGGAAAAGTAAACAAATAATTCTGCCGGCATTATTTAGATTTGTGGGTCTGAGGCGGTCAGAAAGGACTTTTGGTAGCGACCTCTGTACTAAGGAAGAAATAGATACATCGCGACCCTTCTGGGGATCCGTATTAATACTAGTACCAGGCCCGCTTTTGTGCCTTCTGACCAATCACAGGCCCGTACGGCCAAGTGGGGCGGAAGGGCCACAGTGTGGCGGATTCCAATGCTTGACAATTTGTAACAAAATATTAACTATGTGCCATAAAAAAACTAGTGCCGCCAAAACGCCCAAACCACCGGGGCAGAAAAATCAAAGGACAGCAAGAGAAGTGAATACATCGAAGCATCTCGGATGCAGGAGCCAGCATTGATAGAGTTACGGGGAAACCCGTTTCGATTTAAAATATATATATATATTTGACGGGGCGGAGACTAAAAGCTGAGGCGGTTACATCACAAAATGCACAGCACCAAAGGCTATGACAACTGCTATAGCGCTAGCACCCAGGACACGCTGCCCTCTAACTATTCGACCACCGTCACTCTTCGAGCTGCCACTGCTAGAGCCGCAATACTGAGAAAATGAAGACTCTGCACAGGAAGTAGAACTGCTTGCAATAACAACGGTTGACGAGAAGCCACTTTGCATATGTTCACCAGAAGCAGGGAGACTTGGACTGCCGCCAGGAATGGAGTCCACGGGGGCATGGGTCTGGCTCTCTGAAGAACTGATAGAAGAGCGTTGTTCTTCGATGTCCATATCCAGGCCCGTTCCTAGAAATGATCTTAGAACCGTCGGCTTATATCCGTTGCCAACGGAGTTGTTGAGTGCTACTAAGTTGTTGTATGTATAGGAAACAGCGTTGTTAGTACCTGGAGCAGACGATGCGTTGAAGCACTGAATACTAATTTCGCCGAAAGTGGCGAAGTCGTATCCGTATTTATTTATGTCATCTGAGTCCCAGTCGACGAGCCCGCCTGCCCATTGAATGGTACCTGGAGCGTTGGAGCTGGCGCCTCCAGGCCAGATCGAGATTTGCACCCGCGCAGGCGTCTGTGGGTAGTTCCACTGATTCGCGGTGGCGTTCCACGTGTCCGATCTCTTCTTGACGCGACCTACCTGGTTGTCAACTAGCCATGTAATTGTGTCTGGCGTCCACCGGATCTGGTAAGTGTGCCAGTTGTGGTACGTATTAGATAGAGTAAGGTTGGCTGAATTGGCATCTATTTGTGCAAGTTAGCACTGCTTACAACAACGGCCTTATATCTTATATCGGCATCGACACCCACAAATCGGTATGCCCTGGGAATAGTAGTTTGTCTGTGCTATCTCAAGCTCTGTGCCGACAAATTCGTAGTCGATTTCGTCTTTCACGTCACTGAGAAGTATGAAGGCAGTCACAATACCAGCACCGCGCGAAGTCTTCAGCCTCGCGGTCACGGTCCCGTACCACATGTAGGTAGTTGTGGCTAGGACGGTGCCAACCGATCTAGCCGGCATGGTCAAGAGAATGCTCTCGTTATTGTATACAAGTGGGGTTCCTTGATACACCCAGTCGGCAGTCTTTGGGTCGCCGAGGTATTTGCTTGTTTCGACCATACCTTCCATGCTTGTTATAAGAAAGGTTTTGCTCTGGCATTGGGGTTCGGGAACGCAGGAGTCCAGACTGAAGGACATTCGTGGGTCACAGCCACCGAGACAGTACGCCCCAATACCGCATTGCCCGTATTCTGCGATGTGAGGGAAAGGTCAGTTTCCTTGGCAGAACTTTTAAGAATAGACGGCATTGTGCGGCTTCGTTAGTTTACACGTCACAACCGTAATCAATAGCTGTACAGAAGCAAAATTGTAGATTGGGGGTGTTTCATCGCTGCGCTTCTAGTGACCAAAACAATATCCCCACCCCTTTTAAAAAGAAAACAAAAAGGCCGGCATAAGTCGCATCTAGCCTCATTTTCCTATTCTTCTGGTCGTCAAAGAAGCTTGGTAGAGCGACTTTACTTACGCGAGCAGCATGGTGCATCCTTTGGACAATTTTGGGTGAGAGAGCATTTCGCCTGCGCTGCGAGCACACTAGAGACACCCAAGGCAAGTAAACCTATGAAATCGACAGGCCGAATCATGGTGACTTCAAAATGGTAATCAGTCTGTTGCAGCTAAAGAAGCTATACGGGACTGCTCGCGTCCTCTTCCGGAGTATGGTAAAGCGCCTGAAATGCAGATTTAGCCAAAGGATGCTTGAGGCAGATACCAGCTGTTCTGGTGAGGATCAATAACTGTGAACTGATTTGGCTTGAAAGTGAATAGTTTCGATAAGACCGCATATTATTGTATACCGGAATGATATTGTCGAGCACTAGACGAGCAGAGCTAAGAGAGTAACTGAGGAAGAAGCCCATGTAAAACAAAAAAAGAAAATGTAATGTTGAGCAGCAGTTGGACAGATCCACACCGGCAGAAAGCTTTGTGGTATTCAGAGAAGCTCGATAAGAGCTTGATCTACAAAAAAAGAAGGGGGTCCTGAAAGAAGAAGAAGAAGTGTGTATAAAGCACGTAGGCATGCTCGGTTGCAGCTTCCTGTTGTTACCAGCATGTCTCGAATCATAAGCGTTAAGCAAGTAAGGGGGTTTTACGCCTCTAGAATTACAAATATCGGCAGGAAGTGATTGTCTGGACTGTGGGCAGAAAACGGCCACGTAGTTCGCGGTAGGCATAGTTAAGTTTACTAGATACTGGTGATGGGTTAGATCTAGCAAACCAAAATTAGTAATAGCTAACAATGTTTCGCTCATTAACAGGATGATGACATTTTACTATAGTCGCATGTCATCTCGCTCTTTCTCTTGCTTTTCTTACTTCCTTGCTCCGCAACGACCCATATACGTCTAAAGGGATATACAGCAAGTTCCGTCGTTGTCCCAATATCTTATCCCTATCTAATTGAAGACGAGTACCCGTAAACTCCCCCTATCCCTTTGGAAAAACAGAGTCGATCACTTTTCGGGGCTCCATCCATATCACGGAACTACTCGAAAAATGGCTGGCTATGATTTCTGCGCTTTGTATTGACAAATCCACGAAGATTACCCTTCCCTCCCCCCTCCCCCAAATTATAAGAATCAACTTTTCAGATTAGTGTCGCATAAGTAGGGGTTCAACAATCTTCAGAGTCCCTAAAATCTTTGGGTTTCGTCATTACTGACGTGGATCGTATCCAAACTACTCCGTAGCATTGACATAAATGCCATCTTATCCAATCACCACTTTCATAGAACTTGACAGTATATAGGGTACGTTTGCATGAAAATAATCCTTGAGTAGCACTGATTGGGCGCATCATGAAGAAAAGCAGAGACTCTTTTAACCCAACAAGCCGAACCATTTTGAACTCACACTAGGCAGAAAAATAAACAAAAATTATGCCTGGCTTGGTTGAACAAAACAACATTTACCCTTTTTTCCCATCGCCACCAAAATCCCTCGAAGCCGTCCCAGAGCCAACATTCAGAAAAAAGTAACAGATAAAAGGAAGAAGAAAAGGGAAAAAAGAGAGAACACACAGGACAAGCAAAATACACTCCCAAGAAATATAGGATGAGTTTGGAACTGTAGCACAAATGGTAAGAAGCCAAGGGTTTATGACTCCAGACAGAAACCCGCAGTACCTCCTGAAACCGAATTATCAACTCATAGACCGCCCTAGAGTGAAAATATCGCGAATAGTACCACGAAGAATAAAAGCTCCCAGCTCGCTCGGTTCAGTACCAAGTTGGCATAGACCGACAGAACAACAGAGAGACGGTTCTTTCATCTGGCCCCTATCGCTTCCCCGAGCCTGTTGCTACTTGGTCTTCGATAATAATCAGCAAACATTACTGCTAGTATTCTTCAGCTGGGGGGAACCCCCTCAGGATATGGTGCAATACCTGCAAAATGCTCTTTTGCATACTGCTCACAAGCCTTGGCGGGCTTGCCAACTTTCTGACCGATAACCTTCCATTTTTGGTTTTCATACTCTTTTATGGCATTCAGCAAAGCAACGCTCTGGTTAAAAAAAGCATAGGTCAGCGAAGAAGCATGCATTAACAATTTATAGGCATTACCTCGTCTTCCGCGAATTCGGCGTAATGCATGTCCTGCTTGTTGTCAGTGCCTATGCTCGTTCGTTGCAAAATCTTAGGAAGAGACCAACCTTGTACCAATGCTTCTTAACGCTTCCCTCCGTGCGCGTAGGGAAAGTCTGCATGCCTTGTCAGTCACCGTACTGCCTGTCCTCGGCTAAGAGTAACAGAAAACCGCATCTGCTGCTTACCTTTGCAATTTCAGCCCAGGAACTGCCTGCGTCTCTCATTTGCTTGAGCCTGTGTTCTTCAGCCGGAGTCCAAGGTGTGTTGGTCCGACTCTTTTTAGCTGGCGGAGGCGTAGGGGTCACACCACTAGCACTATCTGACGGCGCAACCTTCACTGGATTTGCCGATACAGCGACGGCGGCACCTGGGACAGCCGGTGTTGCTGTAACAGAAGCGACAGGCGTGATGGGGGTGCCGGACGGAGCCCCTTGAGCAGAGGCGGTCACGGCCGGAATGGGCGGGGGGATGACAGGAGATGCAGAAGCTGCTGGTGTGGGGGCTGTAGCAGGATTTGGCCGCTTGCGTCCTCGTTGAGGGACGGGAGCCGAGGCAGGAGGCGGCACGGCGGCATTGGGAGGCTGTTGTGGGGCAGTATGCGGTGTTTGGGGGTGCTGTGCATGTTGCTGTTGCTGGTTATGTTGTTGGGCATGCTGCTGAGCGTGCTGTTGAGCAACATTCATCGGTGGTGGAACTGGCGGACCGTGATGCGGTTGGTTCGGTGCTTGGGTTTGCGGTGCATATGAGCGGAAGTCCATCTGTTCATTTCGTCGTGCCGGGATGTGCTGCTGATACTGGTGCTGCGCGCTATGCCAAGGGGTGACAGGGTCAGTAATATGCGCAATTTCGATGTTTGGGGGATTGTGATTGCCAGAGGACTGTTGGCCGTCCGGCGTCACTCGTGTCATTTAGAATCCGAACAAGCAGGAAGGCTAGCATAGAGCCGCAGCTCTAGCAGTAGCACGAGCGATGGAAAAGTGTCAGGGGAAATGATGAAGCGAGGAACAACAACGCATGCGGGACCAGGTGATTAGGGCTTCATAAAACGGCGGTGCGCAGGGTGTCTTGTAATCGGTGACAGTGAAGTGCCAGACGGACATGTTGAGATTCCAACATGCACTGACCCAGTGGGAAAATGTGGACATGAGGTAGGACAAGCAGGGCAGTCAAATATTGTAGAAACAGAAATGCATGAGGGAATAGAAAACGGCGTAGAATAAAACAAAGTACCCGAAGGCGGCACGTCGAGCAACGACAGTTCTCCTTCTGTCATGAAAGAGTAGAAGTTGCGTGTTCTGGAGACAAGTTGATTTCACCAAACACAACTATCCTCTTATACTTTGGTAGTGCCTCTAGGGAGTATGCATCGGGGTGACGGAGGGACAATGTACAAGAGGTACTCACTGCATATCGTTGGGGTGGTTTGTGGAGTTGCCATAGATGTACTCCGGCACAGGGCCGACCTGCCATTGCTCCATGACCTAAGAAGATGCGCGCAGGACAGATATTAGAACGGATAAACTAAGCGAAAAGATATACGAATGCTTTTGGTGAGAAAGGGTATGCGACGCGATGACGACGCGCCCGTGATGGTATTCAAGAAATGTGTTTGTAGCCTGACTTGTTGAAATGTGGAAAGGTGCTTTCTTTCTGTTTGTTTTGGGGGGTAAGAAAAATACTCTACCCATACTCCTCCCCTCCATTTGCTGCTGACCAGTCGCGGACACCTCGGGTTTCTAATGGTGGCTGAGTGCTCGACGCCAGATCAGGCCAGAAAAAAGCCTGGTCGTAAAACAGAGCCAGTGCATAGTTATTGCAGTAGACAGCAAGCGGCAAATTGGGGACTGGAGCAGCAGCTGAGGAGGAAACGCAACATAATATTGGCGAAACGCGAAACGCATGAATACAGCGTGTCTGATAGATATGTAGGCAGCCGTATTCAGCGGAGGGGATGGGCGCCAGACATGGGCTAGGTAGATGTGATTCGAAGAGGAATCGCGTGCACAATGCAACAGCAGGCTTAGGTAAGGATGCGAGAGGTAGACAGGCACACAAAGAAGGGTAGAATGATGGTGAGGCAAGTCAGACTGTCAGAAGACAGCGGGAGAGGTGGAAAAGGAAAGGTATAAGCTTACCGCGCGCGTGCTGTGACTCTGCTGGTTAGAGATGGCTGCGACTGATATGCGCTTGGCTTCTCGAGAAGTTGGACAAGCTGATACAGTGTTCTTGACCGTCTTGCTTCTGTGTTTAAATCGGCTGTTCACTCTTGCTGCACAATTTTTCGGGTTGCTGTCAGAAACCAGGTGCAGTGTATCTTACTTCGCGCAGACGGTAGGCGGCATCGATGAACGGGATGAGCGCTGGTAGGTACGGCAAACGCGCCAACCTGATCTGGTGGCTGTCTGGGATAAAGATACCTGACAAACTCTTTAATTTGCCCTTCTTCTTGATCCTTCTTCTTTCCTTTTTCCTGTTCCCCCTTTTTTTCCTTTTTCTAAAATAAGTAGTGAGGACGGGAGGGATTGGTCGGCCGTGGTGGCTGGGTAAACAAGTGACGCGTGTTTTTTCTTCTTCTCAAAACTGATTCCTATTTGATGTGAGCCACATGCCTGCCACATACGCCACAGAAAGAACTAATTTATCCCCATTGCTCCTGGCTGGTTTTCGTAGGCACCATCCTGCAGATACTCTTTTCTCAAGCAATATTCGTTCACTTTCTACTGTGTAGTCTGAAAGGAGCCATACCTTGAATCTTTTCGGGCTAGGTTTCCGCGTGAATTCTGTCCGGAATCCTGAGCGGGTAAGGGTTCCGGGGTGACGTTGCGTGGAGGGTACAAAATGAATAATAAACAATAAATAGAGTTTGCAAGACAATCCCGACGTCGCTTTGGATCGCAAAACCGGGGTAGAAACAACAAACGCAACGGGGCCGAAGAAATGAGGCTGTTGCGATGTACCTATGGCCAAAGTCACTACTAGGTTCTGGCTTGTGTGAGGAAGGTATCCAGAAGTATTGAAAGGGGGGAAGAGAAAGATGAAACGGTCGGGAAGGGTGGAGGGAGAATGGTAGGAAGGTTCTTAGGTTTTAGGGCAGATGGGAGTGGTGCAAGTACCTTCTTTGTATTCCTCCACTTAAAAAATCCGCCTGCCCCTCAGCTCAGGATGTCACCGGCCAGAAGGGTCTTTTGGCGGATGGCAGGTAGGTAAGAAGGGCAATGCCTCGGCCCCGCTGACATTAGTCTTGCCCCTGCGACTGAATAAGCAAGGCGTCTTACGACTTGCCACATCTAAAAATCCATTACTCACATATATGTACTCGCAGCTAGGCTAGATCAGGTTCTTCTCAGGTATGTAGGGCTCGAACAACATTATCATGGTCTATACGGAGTACGGCAATCTGACTAATTCTGCAGTTTAGGAAAGTAGAACACGGTTAAAGGAACAAGCATAAAGAAACAGATGCTCGTGGTGACGTATCTTACCTGCTTTCCTTTAGTGAGATTACTCGTACGGAGTACATACTCCGTACGAGTAGTGTTGATGACGCACTACTCGTGAACGCAGGTGGGGGTATGTTGGTGGATTAACCTGCATGACGACCAGAAAAAAGGGGCCATTTGTTTCATAACTTTACACGAAGTACTTTGTATTGATTATACTTTCTGACCTTTGGATTAAGTGCGAAAATACCCTCGAAACTCTCGCTCTTACGACAGGGGGACCTCCGTATGCTGTCTGAAAGTTATAGTATGGTAGCTATTCGGGTAACATAAGTGAATCATTGCAGCTTTCGTACGGCGTACAGCCTTTTTAATATTCAGTAAAGTGCACTTTGTTCAAGCTAAATACGCTTTGCTTTGTCTTCTACTCGCGTCCAATGAAATTGGCCCACAAGCGTAGAGCCAACCTCTGTGTCCTCGGCGCAATGGCATATGCTTTGCCTGCCTTTATTAAGCTCGCTCCGCGCGCAAGAAGTACCTTCTACTTATTATTATGGGGTATTTACTTTATAGCTATCTTATGCAATGGAGATCGTGGCCGTTAACCGTCGTGTCCCTATGTGGAGACTCGATACCTTTTTTTTCGAGAACTTTAGATAGAATAATACTTCGCCCAAAGTACCCGCAAGTACCCATTTCACGATAACTCAGAACATTAATGGACTATGCCGTTCCACTCGCCGCGTTTCTTATTAGCTATTATAGGATATCTAACCACGTGCAGAGCACGTCTTTGAAAAGCCTAATATCATCGGTTAAGGCTAAGTTAGGATATCTACTCCATACGAGGATCCTGCATCGGTCCACATATCAAACTTGTGACCAGGATGATTATGTTATTAGCTGTGTGATTATCGGATTTTGGGTAAGTATGTACTCCGTACGCTAATAGGGACGGCTTCAGAGTCTTACTTTTATATAATGAAACAGTATTCCGTACGGAGCACTTTGTATAGTTTAAAGCAACCTATTTCCTAACACCTCGGTCTGCACTTGTGGGTTGCTGTAAGAAGCAAAGTTTTATGTATGCAGAATAATAGACGCTGATAACTCTCTCGTATCGGCAGCCAGCACTGTCCATGGAGTTTCCCAAACTTACAGAGCGGGCTACGCTCCGTTAAGAAGGCGAAAGCCTCTTGGTCGCTGCCCTTTTAGATATGTTACACCAGTACTGTTTTAATAAAAAATGGCAAATCCCATTTGTGATCAAATCATTGGCGGGGGAAAAGCTGCCCGTCCTGCTCTATAAGCGAAATGAAAAGCATACCCCGTGCAGTTTGCAAAATAGTGTGTGCGCGAGCTTGCTATGTTCCTGTAACTACTCCGTATTACAAGTGGAAACACACTCAAAACTTAATTCTTTTTTACTTTATCGATTTTGTAAAAAGAAGAAAACTGCTTCTCACACAAGTCCATAAGTGGATATACCAGTTTTGAAAGAAAAGAGGGTTAATGTGTTCGCCCCAACGATAATATCTGCGACGCAAGATTCTGTTTGTAGGTCCCCCTTACTACCTTACCCCTTCCCCTAGAGTTTACATATGTATTTGTTGCTATAAAGATGATGTAATTAGGTGATGCCGTCGGGGAGAGATTTTAAGAAACATATCAGACTAGCCAAAAGAGAATATATGTTGCCTGAATATTTGTCTTGCAATTAGGTACGTAAGTTTTCTTTTGACATAGGTCACACCATAAGGAGAAGTTGTTGCAAAAATTTCCGTGCTCCGTAGGTCTCCATATCACTACATAAAGTTCTATAACCGGAAGAAGGTGACGCCGAAAGGGAAAAGCGGTAAAGAAATAAGAGAGGGGTCTAATCGAAACAACCTTAAACAAGTAGGGTGGATTGTCAATTGATGCTGTTATTCTATACTCTGTATAGCAATAATAATGGTTGTAGGAGCGTGATGCTCGAATTCTCGCTCTTCATCAGCGTCGTACTAATGTTGTTCGTTTACAGGTCAGTATCTTCAACCTCTCCTCTTCTAGTCAATAAAGTCGATTTACGGAGTAATGAAGTCAGCCTTCGTCGCGTTACCCTCATTTCAATCAATGCATTGGTGGCAACCGGCGGGGTTATTCGAGGTACCGACACAGATACTTCAAGAAATCAAGTAAGATACTCCGTACCAAAACTTCACGCTGAAAAAGGAGGAAATTTACGTGAATGGCACAAGCTAGTTGCCTTACTATGTATGTATCTATTTTTTTTTTTTAAAAAAAAAAATATGCGTACGGAGTACTACTCCGAATGTACAAAGTGCTGCATCAGTGGGAACAAAAATAGCTTTGATCAATTCGGTACCAGGCTGCAACTTTGTTTACCTCGCACGCCATTGCACTCGTACTCCGTACGGAGTGCACGGCGGATTAAGATTTAGGCTTTGTCGCGACTGCGCTAGTGGAATCTCTAGTGTGGGATTTGTTCGTATTGTTGTTTCAATTTCGTGGCCTATGCGTACGGAGTACAGAAAACAAACCAGCAGGGGAGGCCCAAATATATCCTACTTTTTTGTTTGTCCCAAACCTAAGTCAGCACGGTGCACTGTCCCTTGGATGCACAGCGTAAGTAATGTAGGATACGTATCCTGTAATACATACTTCCAGCAGTCCGTACGCGTATGTAAGATACGATCCTTCATACCAAACATGGGAACGTACGGGACAGCTATCAATACGGAGTAATTATCGCAGCTCATGCATAGTATGGTCTTTGGCGCGTGGAGCTTAGATGAACCCCACCTGCTGGTTACCCCTGACTCGGAGTGGGAAAGACCTGACACCAAGTTGAAATTGGGCCGGCCTTGTAGATACGACGTAGTATGTAGCGAGTTTCAAGGGATGGATAAGAAGAGCCGCAGCGAATGGGGAAAGGGCAAGACAAGCTATTATTTAGGTAGCAGTCGCCTGCTAATGTGGCCATTTTTAGCCCAATACACGATGCGAAGCAACGAGAACGGCGGTATGTATCTTATCTTGCACAGTACGACCAGACGAGCTGCTTTGCGGACCTAAATTGGTGGGCAGTCAGCTATTACCTAAGACAAAAGGCAGTTGCTTTGTGCTAAATTGTCATTTCAGAGTACCCGTGCAAGCAAATTGTGTACATAGTAGAGCTATGTGTCGGAAACGAGGCTGTGTTTTAACTCCAGCTCCGTGTGAGGCCAGCCCGTGCTCCGTAAGCCGGGTTTGGAGGCTCACGGTGGAGGCTCTATGAAAATGGGGCCCCTCTCTCGAATGAGACAATTCCTCGTCCAATGAGCGGGTCAGAAACTCTGTAACGTCCTTCGCGACAACAACCTCGAAACGCATCGTAAAACAACACAGTTCTTGACGGCTTCAACGGCTCCATTAAGGCCGCACCCCTGTCTGCTCGGCGGCTATACTATGTACGCCTCTTAGAAAATAAAGAATTCCGCGGCAAGAGGTCAATGCTTTCATGCGAAACAACTACGTCGTAAACGGGGCCCTGCGCTCATGCATTGGGCGTGGAACGAGAAACAAGCTTCTCTACCAGTGGCGGCCAAATTGGCACGACGTAAGTAACCTAGATGTCTGTGCCCTCACTGTCTCCCCTTTGGTGGTGGAATCTTATTTTATTTTAGTTTTGCGCGAGTTTTTGCATGAGGCAAGACCTGCATGGCTCTTGGCTGTCTTGATCGATCTTCAATGGTTCGTTGAAGTTGATGGATACGGGTTTAGTCACAGGCTTGTGCCTCTCCACAGCTTCTACTGCCCCGTTGTATGTTTGGATACCACGAAGATTGCTGCTGAAATCAGAGCTGGAACAACGGACGAAAATGTCGATTTCAGTCCGCCTTAAGGACACAGCCGGGCCTGATGTCCTTTCTCGCCCTCCTAGCATGGAAGGTTTCGGCGACTTGACAATTTCCGGTCAGCGGGTTTAGTACGTATTGTAAGATACCGGTAAAGCGCAGGGCGCCTCCCCTCTTTCACCCGCCCTTGTGCTTGCCACTTGCAGAGAAAACACGACCAGAGACGTACTCATATATAGTACGTTGATTCTTTTATTTTTGCCTGGTTGCCCCCTCTTTTGCTGTTTATTGCCAGAAGATGGTTTATTAGCGAACCTACTAGGGAGTATGTAGTAAGGCTTTTGCTAGTCTCTCTTTTTGATCTGTCACATCGCTTCCCCCCACTAACCACCCTGGCTTCCCTTCGATACCAACGTTTCCGATCTGGTTTGGCTTGTCAATACTAGGCCTTCCGCAAAGAAAAATGGCTGTGTTGCGTGTTTCGACAAGAGTATTATGTCTGTGTGTATGCGTCTGATATCCACACAGACGGCAATCCACCCCTGGGTCTCCCACGAACCAGCCGGGCAGCGCTTTGGCGACAAATCATGCAAAATTCAACACAACCCTCCGTACGGAGTAGTAAGATATGTGGCTGATAACGATGCATAATTATGCTCGCTCTCCCTACGATCTTCCTCGTCGCTTTTCTTCCTCTTTTATTTGTTCTACTCGCTCATTTCACCCCAGGTATATACTCTCTCCGGGTGAGAAGAAGGGGAATCTTTCTTTTCTTGATCACGGTTCTTAACGTGTGTCCTATCTTTTCTTCTTCTCTATTCTTTCTTCGCAGCTGGCCTTTGTCATCACAAGCTTTTTTGTCCAACTGGTTTGGCTGCTTCCACTCTTTTGAAGAGAAGGCCTTCTATCATATTCATTGTCCTCTTTATCGTCCTTACTTCATTGCTGTTTATTCGCTACGAAGCCTTGACGCCCGTTTGACTGTTAATTTGATCCAACCGACTGTTCTTTCTTAATCGACACAGCGGCAGTCTCATTTCCTTTGGCATACGAATTGCGCCAAGACGGTGCCTTCGGCGATATATCGATTCTTCCCCGGCGGCAGGGTCGTGTTTGATATCGCATCCGCAGTTATTTCTTCTAGCCTGGCTCTTACATGTCTGGCTCTGCAGTGTTTTCGTGCTCTACTTCTACTGAAAACAGCACGGCTTCTATCATGCAGGTTGCTTCGTCTTTTACATACACGCCAACGTGTGATGCCATTGATCGCCATGATTATGGCGTCTCAAAGAACCGAAAGCCGGCTTCGACTGGTGGTGGCAGGGCATGGAGCGATGATGAGGTATGGTTCTGCCCGATGCGTTTCAGACCCGGAGCTATAGCCACAGCTGTACAGCCAACCGGCCTGCATGGAGACCTTGTTTGCTAATGTATCACCGTGCTGCACACAGGAGGTCTATCTGCTGCAGACGCGTCTCCAAAAAATGCCATACAAGCACATCGCGGCACACCTCAAGAAAACAGAGCTCGCCTGCCGCCTCCACTATCACCAACTGAGCCATGGCAGCAACCGCCGGAAGCGCACTACGAGCGTCTCATCCGCTTCCTCCGGTGGTTGTCACTCCCCCATCCTCTCGGCCTCTGTTCCGTCACCTATCCACGAATATTCGCCGACGCCTTCACCTCCCGGCAGCTCCGACAGCTACGGATCCGATCCCAGTGGGCTGCAGCTTCCCAGTAACATGGCTGCTGCTGTCAGTAGTGGTTCTAGCGTGTCTTCCCCTCGCCTGCCAACTATCCTGCCGAAGCCGGCTTCCATGGCGCTACCTCTGGTCATGGGGCCCTCAGCTGTACCTCGCACCTATTCCCCGTCTTTGAGCGATGGATCTCCCTTGGTTTCGTCGTTGCAGAGCGCATCTCTTCTTCCGGCCGCCACATTTTCATCCTCTTCCCCATCGCACTCGGCGCCTGGGATCCCTGGAGTACCAAATCTCCGCCTGGATTGCACTTCCCTGCCACCCGCACCTCATCCGTTTTCTGGTCTACACAAGCCAATTGACATGACTCGGCTGCAGGCTGTCTATATGGTCCACCGGCTCAGTTTCTGGGATAAGATTGCCACTGATTATGGGTCTAGAACCAGCCCATTGGTTTTAGAGCAAGCCTGGCGCGCAGGAAGCATGGTGCCTGGAATCGGGATTCATCACCAGCAAACAGCGACACCGTTAACCCCAGGCACAACTCCTGATGACCGGGATTTATTTTACAGTGTGAAGGGTTCCCAGGACAAGACACGAATCTCTGCCATCTTGGGCATTGATGCCAATCCGAGGAGCCCAAAGGAGCGTGAGTTGGTGCGTAAACTGGAAGAGGAAAGAGCCACTGCACCTACAGTTGCATAAAGGTTGTGCTTAGCAGTCCATTGTGTTGTGAGACCATAAAGTGGGCAGGATAGCAGAAGCGTTGCGGTTCTTAGGCGGCTTTTGTTTTATCTGGCGTCTGCACTTCCCGGGGGGGTTTTTTTTGCTGGCCTAGCTCTTCCTGACCCTGTTGGGGACTGGATGGTAGAGGATTTGCAAGTATGTAGTGTACTCTCTACCCATCCTCTGCTATATTGTCCTGTTTTCGCTGCTACATATTGACATTACCTGGGAGCGAGTTCCAATTTCCTCATTAACAACCCCTTCTCTCACCTTTTGTTACTTTCGGGTATTACCGAGCTTTTTTCCTGAATGATTTATGACTTGAAGGCATTGTGTGTACTAACTTGCCCAAATTCTGGCAGAGTTGGGAATTTTGTGTCTCCTTTTCATAGGATAGTAGAATAACAAACGGCTGCCTTTGTGTTACTTGATCGGTCACATTTCAGCAGCTATCTACATAGGGCGCATGAGATTACAAGCTTCCCTCTGAAGATAGGACTGGCACGTCTATGAACGTGTTTGTTATCTCTAGAATGCTAATATAAGGGGCGGGGCGTTCTACATATCTCGGTAGGGATTCCGGTTGCGTAGAGGCATTGCCCAATCACGATCGTCAGTATCTTAGCTTACAGGAACCATTTGAACTACAGGGAAAACATACTTGTGCCCTATGGTGGTCATGGTTTTGGGTAGAGGGGCCTGAGACTTCCTCCTAGGAGGCAGATGATTGATTTCGACATAATCGACGGGCCTCGGGTATCGCCCCTCCTAAACTGGCGCTATGTCGGCAGCCAATTGCCTGGTTGGGTAAGACATAAGGGACAATGCAGGTTTATTTGTTGTATCGATTATGTCACCTGCACTGCACTTGCTCTGGTTTGGTCTGCTTTGCATTTGTGAAAGTGAAGGGTACGACATGTAAAGAGGGTCTATAATCTAAGGGTAGAGGGAGAAAGGCAAGCAGAAGCTTGCTAACTAATAAACTGAAGTACAGAAATGATCAATAGAAGCGAGCATGGGTAACAAGTAAGAAGAGGCTTATGCTTCAAGCTTTATTCCGCCCTCAAAAGAAACCGTCTATGTTACGGTGCCGTTTTACCAATAGACAGCAATCCATGTTATTGAGGTTGATATGATGCCCATGGAGGCAGTGGGCCTCTGACAAGGCGAATTTTAAGTGATCCAAGATGGAAAGGTTTAAAGTTTAGCTTTTGAATTGGAGATGCAATGTGGCAAATCCAGCAGTCATCTACGCAAGAACAGGATGTGCAGGTTGAATTTAAACGAACAGAGAATAGCTGATCTCGCATGAGTGTACTTCTCTTAGATGCGTTATATCATGCGCCTATGTCCGACAGGACAATATCAACTGATCGTGCTGTGGAACAATCCCGGCTAGAATATACACCATCGTTGCATTTAGTTGTTCCTCTGCCTACTTCGACGCTTTTCAAGGACTGGCCCAGCCTCCAGCAACATCAACCCATTCTGCCAAGCAACTGCCTTCCTTGCCCTCGACATCGACAATGTCTGTATCGCAACGGCAGCGGCACCCAACGCCATTCTCCTTCGGCTCGTCGTAATTCTCCCAATATTGGTCCTCTTCCGTCCGTTTGCGTTCGTCAAGCGTTGTCTTCTCGAGGTAAGGTTGACGGGGTAGCTGTCGCGCCGGAGCGTTGGCTGGGCAGTGCTGGATGGTAGTGTGGCGGTAACCAAAGTCGCGGAAATAATGAATATCATGGGGAGCGAGAAGGACACCGGCTGCAAGAGAGTGGATGGGTGCATCACCCCACTGCAAGGATTAGCACTTTACCTCAGACGGTAAATTCGGTACACTTAGATCAAGACGTACTCGTTCCATCCAAAAACCACCGCTGCGATCCATCATCTGAAAAAACTCCTCATATTCATTGCTGCGAAAGAAACTCAGTCGTGCAATCTCGAAGTTGGACCAGAAATGGCACATGTTGTACTTCTCGCCTTCCATACCCTCCGGATCGATCTCGGGCGGGCTATTGCGAGACGGGTCTGTGCGTAGAATCTCCTCTGGAAGGGGTAGCTTGTAGTTCGGATCATCTTCGGCTAACGGTTCCTCCTTCTCCGGCTGTGGCTCGACGAACATCTCCCAGAGTCCCTTCGAATCTAAGTTTTTCTGCCGTTTGTAGGCAGATGCATATCGGAACATGTTAGGGACAGTTTCGCGGAGCTCCTTCACGGCAATCGTGAAACCATATGTTTTGTTGGACTCGATCATTCTTAAAAAAGGGTCACTGAGTCACAGTAAGCAGGACTGTAGTCACCAACATGAAGTGTCAGGCCTCATGAAGATAAGAAGAAAACATACTAAGTGATGTCACAGAAATATTTGATCTCCGGTTCCAGCCGCCAGTACCACTCATACTTGGCAAGGAGAGGGTGCTTGTAGAAAAAGCTAGAATGGTTGATAACATTAGTACAGTACGCGTTTCGCTAGAGCCATATATCTTACCCAGAATAAAACCGACACATGGCGTGGTAGCTCTCCAGTCCGCCATACATGACAGCGGCGTCTCCTTGTTTGGCGATGCCCTCCTTGGCAACCTTGGGATCAATCCAATCTGGGTATCCCCACATCTCTGGCCCTACTTTCCCAAACTCAACCTCGCCAGAGGTAAAGTTGCGTATGACGTCTTTAAAGGTCTGGTTGAAGTCGCCATCGTTTAGGAAAACATAGGGGTAATGATACCACCGGTTGAAGTGACGCTCTATAGATTTTACCGATTGGATGACGCCCTCCAGTTCTTTATTTCTCGCCAGGACCACAAAAGCGCCGTTCGCTCGTGGCTGACTCGTATCTGGTTCGAGGCACCCGGTGACAAACACCTTATCGTGTTCTTCGCTAATTTTGCTATTTGCATAAGCTTGTGTTAGTCCTCCAAGATGATAGCCGACAGAAGATACACACGCATGAAGGCGCTGACACAATAAGACGTACCGAATAGCCGGAGGTGCTCCTGCAGGCATCAGTATCCTGCCTGGGGAGCTAGGATGCCTCACGAAGAGTATTAAGATCAAAAGCACCACAATGCAAGGAAAGAGGATAACGATGCCTAGCGGCACAGATATGTTGGAGTTGCCCTTCAACCGCATAGGCTGTCTGAAGTAGGCAAGGCGGGCTCGCCATCGGTTGGCTCGTTGAATGCGGCCTTTGCCATCTACAGACGGGAGCTGAGGCGTCGGTGCAGCCGGCATGAATTGTGAAGCACGCCGTATGAGATCCATGGCGATGGCCTGAATGGGAAAGAAAAACAGAGCGGGCGGATAGCCTGTCCCATTCCCTTCTCCCGTTCAAGTGCCACTGATGTGGATATCAGCGTCAAGCGGCCTGATGTCGATTTCGTAGTTATGTGGCTGTCAACAACGAAAAGGTGATGACAAGACGACGAAAATATAGAGACAGCAGGGAAAAATGCAGACGTGGCTGCGTAGCCTAAAACGTGAAGGCCTTCGAGACGTTTCTATCAGTCCCAAAATCGATCTTGACAGGGGCGATATCCTCTTCTAATGTGCTGCTAGCTGGTTGCTCGCTGGTGCATGTCAGAACCAGTCGCTGCACGCGAGAAAGAGATTAATTGATATACAGGTTTCACCCCAGTGACAACCAAATATGACAAGAGTAAGCTAAAAAAGACACCGTCCAACTGGACGGAAAATAAGAAACGAGGCTTGCAGTCCGATGGAACACGGAAAGGGTAAGTGGATCAGACGTTTCGCGTCTTCGCGTCTTGTCTTTTTCTTCTGCCAAAGGGAACAGATGGAAAACAGTATATCGGCAGTGGCATCGAAGCGGTCGCCCCAATAATATTATGAACAACTGGTTGATATCAATAGCGTAAGCGGCTTCCTTGGTTTCTTTTTTGGCCGTCGCGCTGTGGTCTACCGGTTGCGATCTGGCCAGGTTTGTACATTTGCAGGGATAAGAAGTGGAATTTGAAAGGAAATATATAGCTACGGAGTACGGAGGTCCCTACCTAAAATTCGTTCTCACCGCTTTTCTATAACAGCGGCAATACACAGTGCCGAGTGTAAATCATACGGAAAAACTATTAGCGATGCTACTCTAGGACTTAGTGGATATTATCGCTAATCTAATTCAATTATTAATAATTTTACAGGGCGCTTAGCATAAAGCACTACGCTAACACTGCTATAGTAAATACAGTAGCAATAAATTACAAGAGCGCGTATATCGCCCCACGTATTTGCATAATTCCCGTAAGTCCGCCACCCCCCCTTTCGACCACCCCCTCCTTTCGACCAATAATCGGATCAATTTCACCCTCTCTGTTACCTTGCTAATTAAAAAAAGGCACCTGCTGCAGCGCCAAAAATAGCTCTAACTAGCTAATTTTCTATGCATTGTTTTTGTAATGCCTGTTTACACGGAGAACACTTAAATAACGCAAAAAAAGCGTTGAAAACGGCCTTAGTATACAAAAAGTAGCCGCCCTTTACTACGTACCTTATACTACTCTTTAGTACTGCCTAGCAGGCACGTAGACGCGCTAAAAAGGTAGCAGGTTCTTTTACCGCGCTTAAAGAATACCTTAGTGTACTAAATAAATATCTGAGTATAGCTAAGGCTTGCTTTTACGTATAGCTAAATGCTTAGTATTATATAGCTTTTACTAGCTATAAAATGACGCCCTTAATTTCTTATAAGGTATTTAAAGATTAAAACCTTATATAAGACTTTTATTAAAAAGGTTTATACTAGTAGTGCTTTTAAATTCAATATACACACGCTTTTTACTTACTTTTAATACTTAACTATTTATAACCTTTCTTTTAAATACTAGTATAATATAAATAAGACTAAGCTTACTAAAGGCTTTAAGGTAAATAGATTAGTTATTAGTATAATAGGTATTACTAAAGGCACACAATTTATAGCAAGATAAAAGGTAGGATAAAAGGTATAAAAGGCTTAAAAATAAGACTTCATCTTACTTCTTTTAAATTCGTTACTAGTAAGCGCTTATAAAATATATATATACTATAATAGTAGTCTAGCATAGTAGAATACTTAAGGGCGCTTAGTAAAGCTTACTAAGTATTACCTTATTTACTATTAGTTACTAAATAAAGCTAATTAGCTACAACGTAATTAGCATAGCACTAAAAAAATGGCTACGTTTAAGCTATCTAACAACAAATCCAACGACGGCTACACCAGCGCCGCAGCAACAACAACGCCGAAGCAGGCACACAAGACATGCAAGATACTAGCGGCACCTACGGCAAAGCGGCACATCAACCTCTCTACCATCTTCGGCGCCACCGACAATGCCCTAAAGGTAATCACTCGCACTACGCAAAGCGGAACAAAGACTACGAAACTAAAAGCGAATAACTGTATCTAAGTTATCCTTTTGCTGCTAACGCGAAAGGTATTGACAACGCTGCCGCTGCTACCGAAAACGCTACTATAGGCGTAGGCGCAAATGTAAGTAGACGTATTACTACTACTAGCAATACTACTCTTAATAAAAACTATAATACTAGCAACAACTCTTTCTTAAATAAATAGACTAGAAGTAACGCTATTTTAATTCTTATGCAAACTTAACTAGCTTAGTATAAAACTTAAAGCTTTTAAGATTCTTTAGCTATATGTTATAATAGGCTATAGTCTAGAATAAGCCCTGGTTCTACTCTTAGCCTTTTTAGATAAAGGGTTAGCTTAAGGTAGATACTAGATCTTAGGCTACCTTAATCTTAATTCTCATATATTCCCCGCTTTAGGCCTAGTTACTTTAGCAGCTATACTATTTAAATTGAATAAGCCCTTTAATTTAAATAGTACTACTATTAAGCCTAACGGGCCGATTTCGGAAGAGATAGGAAGCTAATTAGCCGGGTGGGTTAAAGTTTAGATATTGCAGAGTAGCTGCTATCTTATTACTTAGGGTAAGCGGGGGTGCTAGTACTAGCTTGCCTTTTTTATAGCTTAATTTAACCTTTAATCAGGCTAAGGCTAGCTAAGACCTTTATAGGCTATAGATTAGTTAAGCTAGGAAGAAAGGGATATGTACCTTTTTTTTTTTCTTTTTTAGAATAGCTTTTAGTTTCTTTAGCTTAGTTTTTAACTAGTTTTATTCTTTTAACTATAACTTCTTCTTTTAGTTATATTCTTATATATATAATAGTAATAATTATGCTACTATATAGTATACTAGACTAAGAAACTACTTACTTTATTAATAGTATACTATAAAGCTTATTTTAAAGAATTATTAACTAATATAGTATACTAACTATAATAGTACTAATATTATTATTATTAATATAAGCGCTTATTATTTATATTCTACTTATTCTTTACTACTCTTTTTTTCTTTTTTTCTTTTTTTAAACTATTAGTTTTTCAATATATATAAGAGTACTAGCTACTTACTTTGCTTTATAAACTTTAAAGATAGTAACTAATAAATATAAAAATTATTAACGTAAATAATAAAATAATAGCCTAACTTAACTAACTTTATATATAAGCTATTTAAAACGTTTTAAACAAGAATATTATAGTAGTCTTTTATATATATACAATATACTAATTTAAATAAAAGCTAGTATAGCATAATAAGCTTAAACTTTAGCTAAAATCTACTTTTACTTATATAGTTATATATAATATCTTAGTAGTAGTTCTTTAGTTTATAAACCTTTAAAATTAAGTTAAATATAGTACTTAAATTACTAGCTTTTAGTTAATGATCTAAGCTAAAGTTTTAATTAAATATTTTTATATTATAGTAGCCACTACCTTTTTAGTAATTATAAGTAAAGTTTATATAATAATTAATAAATATATACTATAAATACTAAATGTAAAGATATATAGTAAAGTATTACTATAAACCTTAATAATATATAGACTATAGTATAAAGTATTAAAGCTAGTAATATATACCTATACTAAAATTAAAAATTTAATTTAACTATACTATTTATATAAGGCTATAATAATTATAAGTCTCTTCCTTTCTTACATTAAATAATGCTATTATATTAAGTTTAATATATAGCTTATAAAAGCTATAAAGTAAAGCACTATATGCCTTAAGTAATTAACTTTAAAGTATAGTTAATATAAGGCATCTTTAATAAACAGCTTTAATAAATTAACTTTAATAATAATAAGCTGCTAGAATCTAAATAGTTTTAATAAAAGAGTTATTATTAAAGCCTTTTTTAAAGCCTTAATAGCTTTCTTAACTAGTAGGCTAAATACTACTATTATACTAGGTTAAAGGCTACTTATAAGAAGAGCGTTAAAAAAAAGTATAATCTAAGTAAAAAGCTTTATAAAGGTATAGTAGTAGCCTATAGCACTTGAAAATCTATATATATTAGTAATTATATACATTACTAGCTAGTTAACAATTATAGCAACATTTTTAAAAATAGTTTATAAGCCTTAAATATAAGGATTCAACTAAAGAGAGAAGTTATAGTTAAAAGAATAAAATTAGTTAAAAACTAAGCTAAAGAAACTAAAAGCTATTCTAAAGAAAAGAGAAAGAAAGGTATATATATCCTTTTCTTCCTAGCTTAACCAATCTATAGCCGGCAAAGGTCTTAGCTAGCCTTAGCACTCCTGCTTTCCTTAAGTAATAAGCTAGTAGCTACTCTATAACATTTATACTTTGACCTACCTAGCTAATTAGCTTCTTATCTCTTTTAAAATCGGCATATTAAGCCTAATAGTAGTATTATTCCTAAATAGTATAGCTGCCGAGGTAACTAGGCCTAAAGTAGGCGAGATAAGAGGGTTAAGATTAAGGTAGCCTAAGATTTAGTGTCTACCTTAGGCTAACCCTATATTTAAAAAGGCTAAGAGTAGAACTAAGGCTTATTCTAGGCTATAGCCTATTATATTAAAAGTTAACTATTATACTTAAAGGCTTAACGCTATTTATAAACTAGTAGTATTTGTATAGTTTAAGAACTAAGTAAGCCTTATTTAGCATTTATAGTAAGGTTAAGAAACTAGTATACTAGTATTACTAATAGTATTAATAGCTTTTTAGCTTATAATAAAGTTAATAAAGTAAATAATAATATAGTAAATATTACTAATATAAAGAAATAATAAGTAAGTAAGAATAACTAACTATATATAAAAGGCTAGTGTGCAATGCGTGGTTATAAAGGCTTAACTAGTTTGTACTATTATATTAAGACTTTAACTTAACAAACTATAAAAGATTAGTAGGCGA